ACGTCACGATTCGGCGACCAATCAGATCGCGAGGGGTCTACTGCCACAACCTACTGTATAACCTTGAGTCAGAGCTGCTTCTAACACTACCCGAAAGGGGCCGTGCACAAAGTTCGTCATTTTCAGAAGTGGGGTACTTTTTTCTCGGCGCCCTACGCGAGTTCACGGTTGAAAGTGGAAGCTTTTTAAACACTATGATAACGTTACCCCACCCGAAAAAATGTTACCTCCGGGGATACAATTATCATGGCATCCGAAACACTTCCGTTTGCAAGCCTGATTCCAAATATGGCGCCGTGATAAAAGTACCCCACCCTCCTGACGACCTCCTGCACGCCCGCAGTCCCGCCCGTGTTCCCGCCGGCCTCGGCGCGCGTCAACAACGTGAGCAACATCCTGGGGCCGTCGCCGCTGCTCACCCAGATGGAGGACATCCCCGCGCACCTGTTCTGCACGCCCGACCTGCTGCGGGAGTGCGCGCCCGCCGGCACCTGCGAGTGCCTGCACATCATCAAGGTCGGCCTGGGCGAGGTGGTCGAGTTCGTCATCGGCGACGCAGGTGAGCAGGTCGCGAACGTAGGATACTCCACGAGAGGGGTTCAAAGAACGGGAATCTTCGGGCAAAAAATGGAACTTTTTCAGAAAATCGGATATTTGTTTTAATCCAGAAAAAATTTGTTTACATTCTTCTACTCAAAAAAATATAAACCTGCCAAAATAACTTTGTTTGAATATTGTTTCTGAAAATTTGTTGTTGTTTTTTGAAAATGTGAATCTCTCTCTATCCTCAACAGGCCGCCTCCGCAACGGCCTGTCCCACCCCTTCCACGCGCACGGTCACTACTTCCACATCCTGGCGCTGGGCCTGTTCCGGCCCGGGCAGACCATGGGAGACGTGCTCCGGCTCCTGGACGCCGGGGAGGTGCCCTTCAGCGTGCAGCCCGTCGAGAAGGACACGATCGCGGTGCCGTCCGGGGGCTATGCCGTCGTCAGGATGGTCGCCGACAACCCAGGTAACACCTCCAACCACATACGCCCCTGCCCCCCGCGCGGCTGCCAAAATATTTATGTATATTCTTTTCTTCGAAATTGCAGGATTTTGGATGTTCCACTGCCACTTCCTCTACCACCTGGTCACGGGCATGAGTGTCGTGCTGCAAGTCGGGGAGCTCTCGGATATGCCGCCGGCTCCGAGAGGTTTTCCGAGATGCGGGGATTTCTTTTGAAACGTTCAACAGTCGAGTCGGGGGTGGAACGCACGAACGCAGTATTCCATGCTAGTCGCCTATACAGTTCTATTGTAAATTATAATCTCTACCATACTATTTGTTAAGA